AAGGGAAAAGGAGAGCCAGAGGTGCTCTAATTAGGGAACTTGAGACCTCTCTCCTTGCTACCCATCTAGTTCAAAACAGAAGCAGCCACCCACACCTTAAAGAAATAGATCCACTACCAGGAGGTATAATTCTTGGATTTTCCTGTTGGAGAGAGGATCCCAGAAGCTAAGGGCCTTCAGAGATCCTTTGGTGCACTTCTTCCTTTCTTTCTTTGGTTTCAATCAATCCAGACACTCCTCTGAGTCTTTGTTGCAAAGGCAATGACAACATCCTGCATTTATAGAAAAATATATGTTGTTGAGGGCCACCGCTTAGAAGGCTGCTGACTGATCTAACTGGCTCTTCCTTCACTACCCAATTAGCAGCTAATGTCCCTCCACTCCAGCAAGCCTGTCACAACCACAGTCTCTTAGGCAGAAGGTTCTTATTGCCACCCTTCAGTTCATCTTCTATTTTTTAAGATGTATTTGGAAACAATTACCAAAGTGACCCTGTCATTAGTGTGAAGTCACACCAGCTGAGCAGATGATCCTGGCCCAAACCCCCACCCTGTCTAGAGAAGGGACATATTTGCCAAAGTCACTCTGCTCAGCCCAAGGCTCGCTCACAGATAGAGATGTAGGTAGAGAAAGGGAAGGAAGAGAAGAACAAAAGGGTGACATCACTCCAAAGGTGATGTTCTTCAGGGCACCAAGGGGCCCCCACCCTCCCAGAAGCCTTCTCTGGACACTTGGCCACTGTGGTCTCTCCCTCTCATGCAGATCCTGAGTGCAGCACTGCAGGGTTCTGCCTTTGATTAGGTTGTGCACCCTCTAACCCTGGAAAGCTGGGGTCCCCACACGTTCCTGCCATCAGCCCCCAGACAGCTTTCAGCCTCTCCTCAGAGATCGTCTGTCTCCAGTCACGCTGCTCTGACCTGTCTCCTCCATTCTGTTTCTGCCTCCGCTCCTGTCTGGCTGGCCGAGCCTCGGGGAGAGCTACGTGGCTTCACACTCAGCTCCCCACCAGCCTGTCCCAATTCTAGGCTTCAAATTAGCTTGCCTTCCCTTGGCATGGAGGCTCCTCGGGCTGGTGGCCCAGTTACAGATCCCCACCTCCTCACAGCCCAGCACACCTCCTTCCTGCTCTCCCCCTCACTGTCCTCTGTCACACTGACTCAGCCTGGACACCGTTTGAGTAGACACCATTTGTCTTTGCAAATGGACAGTCAGCTGTAGAGAAAAAGGGTGCTCACTTGTCAAAAATCTCCTTTGGAAACTACCACATCCTAGTCAGGTGCCAGTTACTCAGTGAGCACTGCTGAATGGATGGTTGGGCAGGTGGGCGAGCGGGTGGATGGATGGATAGATAGATGGATAGAGGGAGGGATGGAAAGATGGAGGGATGATGGATGAATAGAGGGAGGGAGGGAGGGATGGACAGAGCGAGGAAGAGAGGGATGGGTGGAGAAATCTAGCATAGCCAACCATTCTGGTGGTAACTAGCGTAAATAAAAAGAAGAGTGGGGAGCGGAAAAGTAATATAAAAGAAGAGACTTATTTGCACAAGGCAAAGAACAAGGCCGTGGCTCAGAGGGCCATGGACCACAGGGTGCCTGGGGGTGCACCACAGCAGTCTTGTGCCCCAGCCCACCAAGTCTCTATCAGGAACCAGGAAGAGTAACCAAGCAGTTTCCATCAGCAAAGCATCTCCCAAGCTGAAAGTCTGTCTGATCTGGATGAATTACTTGAGTCATCAACTTCCCTAATCTGCCCCCAAGCCCTCCTTCAGAAAGGGGCACAGAGCCCCTTTCTGCCTGGCAGGAAGGGTTGGGAGATCAGGGAGCAAAGACCTCTGTTCCTCAGGACAGAAAGTCCAGTCTACCCCACATCACACACAGACCCCCCAAAGACTTCTAAGCCCCCTCATGGCCCTCCAAGACACAAAGTTTCCAGCACACAAATACACACACACACACACACACACACACACAGGCACTCACACCAACTATGGCAACATCCCTCAGTCGGCCTGGCTTCTGGCTGTGGCTTATCTTGAGCTCAGTCACCCATGCGACATCAAAGAAAGCCTGACAAATTCAGCAGCAGGTGGAAAGAATCTGGGAGAAAGACCAAAGCAAACTGCTAGGGGCAGAGAGACAGTGCAGGACAGGGGGAGGGGTGCAGGACAGAGGGAGGGGGGTGGTACAGGAGATGTGGTCAGAAGAAGCCGGTTTGGGTCCCAGTTCTGTTGTCTCTTAGGAATGATGTAACTTTGGGCACTGAACCTCTGGAGCTTCAGTTTCCCTATCTGCAAACTGGGCACAAAACCTGCCTCCCTACTGAACCATCCTAGGATGAAATGAGCTCATTCAGCCACTTATGTCCCATCTCCTCCCCTCTGCAGAAACCCTCTGAGTAGTAGCCGCAAGAGTAACAATTACACCCTGTAGCACAAGGCTCTTCCTTCTTGAGACCCCACCTGCCTGTCTCTACTTTCCACCTTAGTGACACGGAGCGGGAAGACATGGGTCCAATCACCCACAGCAGCATGTAACTCCCAGCTCTTCCCCTTGATGTGTTAACTTATGTGCACCTCAGTTTCTCCATCTGAATTATGACTACAATAAACACCCAACAGTGTACAGTTTATGATCTACATGCATACAGTGCCTGATTCAGTACCTAGCACACAGTACACTTAATAAATAGTACAGAATATTTCTTTTAATTATCATCGTCGTCATGATCCTGGCTAATGGAATTAGTTCTTCCCTCCGGAGCTGTAAAGCAGAGGCCTGATTCCTCTCCCAGGTGCCAGCCTCTCACACAGAAGGAGACAGCATCACGTGTCCCAGCATTCGCTCCTCCCCAAGCAAACATTCACACTTTTCTCCATGGATACTCACACGCAGCTACAGATCCTCTGCCACCCTGCCCACTCCCCTCCTTGCCTTTCCCAGTCTGTCAATGCTCTCCCTAAAATACATGTCCTGAACCCCTTCATCTGACCCATGCAGCACCCAGCACCCACCAGAACATCCAGTATACTGGAGGTGCACAGAAACACCTGGTGACCAAGTAGTCAATGAATGAGCTGAGCGCTCTATTTCATGGAATCTAAAACTGCAAAAGGCAACAGGCTGTGACATCTCTGGTCTGGACGCTGTGTCTCCATCTCTGACTCCCTTCACCATGCACCAGACCGTGTTGGGAGACACAGACCCACAGCAGCCAGAACCACCAGGGTCTCTTGCATCCTTAAGTCTGAGCCATCTTAAGTCATAGCTCTCCTTTGGATGTTTCTGCAGTTTTCTAATCCTATGTGTAGGACTATCATAATGAGTGGAACTGTAAACATTTGCCCCATTACCATTCAACTTGATAGTTTTGCTTCATTATTACTATGCATTTGTGTTTAAAGATCTGATTCTAGCGTCTAATGTTTTGGTAAATTCTTTCTCTCAACGTTCAGAAGATCACAGAAATTTTGTGCTGAAATGCAAATTTAATGCCCTCCTTAGCCAAATGAGGAAACTGAGGTCCAGAGTATCAAAGTAAGATGCCCAAGGACACATGCAATTTTGTGGCAGAACTGAGATTTGAGCCCTGGGTCCCTCCCCTTCAGCCCAAAAGACTAATACTAATTCTGTAAAACCCTAGCATCTTAATATCTATTCTCTTCAGTCCTCATAAAGACCCTGTAAGAAAGACATGCCTTCCTGATTGCACAGATGAAAGAAAGGAAAGTTCCAGTAACTCATCTTAGACCAGGCAGGCTCAGCATGTCACCAAGCTGGGAAGAGACCTGCTGTGTCATTCTGGAAGCCCTGCCCTAGGCCTTCTGTCTAAAAGCCAAAGAACATGGGACACCTCTAACCAGATGTTCAACAGAAATGCCCCCCAACAGATCTCAATCTAAATTCCTTTTCTTCCCTTCCCATTTCTCCTCCGGTATTTTCTACTCTGTTAATAGCATGACCACTAATGTGGTCACTTAAACTAGAAAACTAGAGAGATTTCCCAGCCTCCTTCTATTCCCAGACTCTGTTTTGCCCCACAGATCTGAGCAAGTCTCCATGCCTAGAGTCCATCTATCACCCTCTCCATAATGCCATTTCCTTGGCCAGGTCCTCAACCTATCTCCTTTGGACTATTACAAAACCTCCTTCCTGCTCTCCCCACAATCCCTCTCACTTTCTGAACACCTTCTACCATATTTGTACTTGCAATCATCTTTTTAAAATAAAGTTGGTCTTATGTTGCTTCAACTTAAAAATCTTACTGGTTTTATTCCACACTATTTTAAAGAATACAAAAAGTATTTTCCCCACAACCTGGCAGGCTCCTCCACTAAGCTCCTGTGCATTTCAATTCAATCCTCATCTCCTCCTCTTTTGGTTCCTCCCTCCTGACTTCCTTCTGGTTAGCCTTGCAGTGCCCCCTGACAGCACTTCTCACACTGCATTTCCTTTGTGTGCCTTTTGATCCCTTTTCAAAGGGAGCTCCTTGAGCAGGACATGGCATCTCTGAATCTCCAGCTCTTGGTCATGAATTTGCTAATTTATTCAATTTGTTAATTTACTAAACCCTAAAAACACTCAATGAATATTATTGAATAAATCAGCAAATTCACAAATCAGGGCTCTGTTTATATTTGTTATGAAAAGTAGTCCTCTGTTAACCTAAGTAAAAGTTCATTTTAGAAGGAGCATGTAAAGATACTTAAAGGGTCCCAATAAAGGATGCATGAAATCCAAGCTTCCGGGTTGATTGGTACTTCCTTTGGAGGTATCAATGACAATAAAGAAGGGGAAAATCCAATTTCAAGAAATAAAGAGTCTGAGTTATAATAGATGTCAGTGTGACTATGACCCAACTGAATTCATCTGTTAATTGTTTCCATTTGCTTTAATCTGTAGCAACTCCCAAATGGATGCTTTTCAAACCACAGGTTGTGACCCAATCGTAGGTTATGAAATTAGTTGGGTCAGCAGTGTATTTTTAAAAATAGAACAAATGAAAGCATTTGGACTTATGGCAAGCCCAATTCCCCCGGGCATTTCATAGTGCCCCATGAACAAACTGTGGCCCCCAACCACAGCCTGGTCTATGCCCATAGGCTACTGGTACTGAAGTGGTTTGCACAGAGGGAGGGAAGGAAGAAGCGAAGATTAAACAAACAAAAAAAAAAATACTACAACTTACTCACACAATAAAGAGATATGCATTATCCATGAGACATTTTCTCAGGTGTAGCTGTGTGTGCATATACATGTTATCATGAAGTTTAACAAACAAGCCCCCAGGTCTTTAATAGGGACGTGATAGCCTACAGAGTCTAACTGCGCCCGTGAGAATATGCACTTCTGAGGCATGAAATTTAAAGCTGGTTACTTTCTATAGGAGGCCACACCTGGCCAGGAAGGTTTACCCAGCTGCAGGAAATATACTTGGATTCACTCTTCAAGACGGAAATGTGCTTAATGGATGCCAAAAAGTTACGTGTACCATGAGAAGAGACAAATTGAGTCTTGTCAGTTTGGAAATGTGTCCCTCGGGCATTTGATCTGATGACATCATCCACTGGGCAGAACTCTGGCTAGGAATTTGGACTTAAGGTACTTGCCTGCAAAATGGGGAGAACAGTGCCCAAAATCTTGAATGTGCAATATATAACATAGACTTTTTATTTGTGTATTCATTACGTGATTGCTGGAACAAATCAAAATTGTTTTTTTAAAAAAAATGCATGAAATTAGCTTGGTATAGAACTATACCCTCGTAATCTATTAAATTAGAGAAAACCAATTTTTAATTGAGCCAGTATTTTACCCATGACAAATTCTACTCAGTTGCTTGTCTCATGTGTCTGTAGTAGACACCACCTTCCACTGGTTTCTTCAAAACAGAAGGGAAACATCATGCCCTCATGCATCTAAAGACTGTGCAGGGAACATGAGGCCCCATCTCCTGTTTCATTCCGGGCAGAATGAGAGGAATGGGCTCAAAATGCAACAGGAAGCCTGCAGAATGGAGCTGTTAAAGACAGAACAGTTGACCCAAGCAGGTGCTAGCTACCCCCCTGGGCCAGTTAAGCCCACCCCACCTGGAGTCAGCGCCAGGCCGGGTGTCAGGGTGTGTAATGTGCCCTGCATGGCTGCTCATGGTCCCTTCCTTCCTAGATGACTTTGGGAGGTGCCTTCCTGTCTGCGGCATCCATGGTTCCAGGATGAGATGGGACGAAGGCTGTGGGGTTGCCACAAACAATCAGATTTCCCCCAGGGCCCGTGGCCTATTTCCAGCTCCTGCTAGTTCCTGTCTAATGCCAGCGTCATCAGAGGAATCCAGGGCATCCTGGGCCCAGCATTGTTCAAATCATGCATTCCTCTTCATAGAAAGCTACTGAATAACTCTCATTCCTCTGCTCTCCCAGGAGAAACCACATCAGAGGATAAGCAACCAGATCCTTCTGTGTGGTGGAGACAAAGGGGGACAGCGGGCGGGAGCCATAGGGCATCTCCAACGTTGTCCATCAGGTCCCCTGGGACGGACATACAGACATGTCAAGAAGGCTTGCCTGCCCCTACCCATTGGCTAAACCCACCCTCCAAACACAATGGCCAAGAGGAAGTGTGAGAGGCCAGAGTCCCACCTGCACCCTCAACCTGGACACATGGCTTTCTTTTATGTGTATATAGTGATACTGGGAATTAAACTCAGGGACACTTGACCACTGAGCCCCAGCCCCAGCCCTATTTTGTATTTTATTTAGAGACAGGGTCTCACTGAGTTGCTTAGCACCTCAGTAAATTGCTGAGGTTGGCTTTAACTCGCCATCCTCCTGCTTCCTCCTCCTGAGTAGCTGGGATTATAGGCATGTGCCATCATGCCCGGCCTGGATACACGGCTTTCTAAATGTCACCGTTTCTACACCCCCATCCTTCTAATTCTTTGTGAGAACTGCAACTAAACTCGAGGAAGGGAAGAAAAGAACCAGAGTTCAGGGAGAGTCACCTAAATGTCAGGCACAGGGTTAGTGACACAGACCTCTATCTCTAAGGGTGACCAGCCACAGCTAAAGACAGAAACGCAAATGGAGAGAAAACAGGCAACAAATATTATGCTAAGCACTGTAGGGAGAAGGGGGAAACAGCCAGGGAAGGACGAGGGAAAGGTCAGGAGAAAAGATCAGAAGGACAGAGGTAAAAAGAGCACAGAGGGAGGGGCCGGCATGGCCCCGCCTGACCAGCGCCACCATGTTCCAACTCCACATCCTGCATCACCCACCTGTCCTCTGGCCCACCACACCAACAAGAGAGGGGGCTCCCTTTGAACCCTTTCTGTGTGAGGGATTTTACCCCTTTTCTTCTTAGTTGTGAAAACCATGGGAACACTGAAAGTCAAGGACAGTACACACTTAAATAACTGAACCTTCATTGTTTACTCGTCAGGTTAGTTTTAATTTTTTTTTTTTTTACTTAAACAAGGTTCCCCAGTGCTGGAAAGAGTGTGGCCCATCTCCTCGGGTCTGCACCTCTTCTTGGTGGTTCCTAAGGGACCTCCCCATCTCCTCGTCTGGCCCTTTCTGTCCAGGGTCCTCTTCATGCAAATGCTGGTTATCTTTCCAACATTCAGTTCTGTTCATTTCACTTCCTGCCAAAGCACTTCAACGGCTCCAGTTTCAAGCAAAAGTCTGGTGTGTGGTGGGAGCTCTGCAGGCCCAATGGACACAATTCTCAGTCAGGTGGTGGAGTGCAGGGTGGCAAGGGGATGTAAAGACAAGCTTTTCTTGGGATTTTTCTCTAGAGAAGTGATAGCTTCTCTACTGTGACCAAGAGTCCAAGCCACCAAGTGAAAAAAATGGCTTAGTGGTAGTGAAGTTACTCAACTGCTTATTCTTTGTATGTGTGTATGTAGTTCTGGGAACTGAACCCAGGACCTTATGCATGCTAGGCAAACACTCTACCACAGAGCCATATCCCCAGCCCTCAACTACCTATTCTCTTAACCTTTTATTGTGCTTGGATCAAGAAACAAAATATTTAAATCAATCAACAGGTGTTGATTGGGCACCCTTGCAGGAGGCCAGCAGAAGGGGGCAGGCATGGTTTGTGGACATTACAATCCCCTGGTGTACTTAACTCAGGTAACAGCGAGGAGATGCCTGGTTCACACCAGCTGCTTGCAGTTGGCAGGAAGGATACACTTCCTCATGTCTTTGCACATTCTGTTCCCTGGAAGGAATGTATGCCCTGCTCTGGGGCACTCTTAGTTCTCTGGGAAGCCTCTTTCTTCCCCAATCCAGGCAAAATTAAACATTCTCTCCTACACTTTCAAAGCTCTCCATATTAAGACTCTCATTGTATATTGCTGTGAGTCTTGATGCTGAGACTGGAGAGCAGAGAGGAATGGGGGTGGTTTTTCTTCATCTGTGAATTCCAGAACCTAGAACAGTGCCTGAATCACAGCAGGTGATTCAGGAATGAATAAGTAAGTGGACAAACAGGTGCGTGTGAGAAGCTCTCCAGGCAGCGAATGCCCACAGAGGTGAAGGCTGGGACAAAAACCCATCCCGAGGTTCTTCGGACCCTCCAAGGCTCAGATGGGTAGCATACATTCCAGAAAGGGGAAAGGAGCAGGATGCAAGTCTAAGCAGTGCCTGGGTGCCAGCATGGGTCTGTTTAATATGCAGCGTGCAGATCCCCAGAAATCAATGCTCATTTTTAAAACACTGCTGCCCAGAGCCACCCTCTCTGCTTGAGTCCAGGGTCGGTGTTAAGTATCTTTCTATTTATAAAGCAACTCACTGCAGTGCTAGTCCCACACGCAGCCATGGAGGTGGGGCACAGTGGGAGAAACTGAGGCTGCAAAGCCAGACACCAGAGATACTGGGTATTTCTGCACCAGGGAGAGAACCTTGTGAGAGGGGCTCTTCCCCAGTGCTGGGCCCTCTCACTAGAGGCTCCGACCTGCTGAAAAGTGCAGTTCTCTCTGGGCTTCTGTGATGTGCTGAGCTCAGCCAGATAGGTTGGGTCTTTCAATGTGGTTCTCTTAAGTACTTAGGGGAATGAGCCCAGAGAGACAGAAAGGTCGAGCAGTCTGTCTTTCCACGTGCAGGCTCTGACCTTCCCAGCATGCACTGGCTCTGGGTCTCACACCTTCTCCAAGGCAGCCACTCTCCAGCTCGGAGGGCATCCCAGTCTGCCAGGCATCCGCCTGGGTGTCAACCTCCCATTCCTTCTGTCTCTCTGTCTCACCCTTCTGGACGGCCAGAAGCCCAGACACCCTGAGGCCTCCAAGGCCAGAAAAGATTCACTGATCTTGTGTTTCTCCAATTCTGGCATCACCCCTCGGAGAGAGGCTTCCCCTGCTCCTAGGTCCCTCAAACCAGTCTATCACACATGCTGTCCCCAGCTTCATTAGCAGCGGCCATATTTACAGAGCACAGTAGATGTCAAAGGCCTTCACACAGGGCCCAAAGCTGGTTTTTGCTACCAGTCCTCCTAGCCACCTCCTCCGAAAACCAGGAGGGAAAGACAAGAAGGCAGCCATCTGATGCCACCAGAACAGGAGGTTCCCTGAATCTTGGTCATACCCATGAAAACCATGCCGAGCAACCATGTGCTGGGCCTGTGACAGGGAGACCTGTGCCCAGCACAGCATCAGGGGCCTCCTCCTCCCTGACGGAATCACAGAAGGTCAGAATCGGAAGGCAACCTAGAAGTCAGTCAGGCATACACCCTCGGTACAAATGAGGGGGAAATGAGGTTCCAGAGGGGGAAACAACCACGGTCATCCAGCCAGGTAGTAAGTAACAAGACAAATAGGAAAACCCAGTTTCCTGCCGTCCTGGTCCATGTGCTTCCCACTATGCTCCACTCACTCACCATTTATCAGGCAGAGACCTGCCAGGCGCTATACTTGGCATATGGACTCAATTTAAGACATAATTGGTCCCTGTTTTCAAGCAGCTTATAATTTAAGGAGGAAAAGGGACAGGGTAAGGTAAGAAGGAAAAAGGGCAGGAGGGAGATCTCAAACAAACAAAGAATTTAACAAACTCTTTAAATAGCTCAAGATGTGCAACCCTCCACGATACCAGGAAGAGCATAGAGGAAGTGGCTCCTTCCAGCTGGGAGGCACCTTGCT